TACAGGTGAAGGAGAGAAAAGCAGGGGGTGAGTATAAGGATAGGAACTTTTGTGACTAATTTCAACTGAGATGGTTTTACCTTTGAAAGTTTGAACCATCTTGACCCTCGGCTGGTTTGTTGTCTGCAGAACACTTAATCCTTGTGTTTTTGCAGTACAGGCTCCTGCTCTTCAGTCCGGTGCTTTTCCGACCCTGCTCAACAGGGTCGGTAGCATTTGCTAACGGAGCAGTGAGGAACACCAGATTTCTGATCTTTAGCCTCTTGAGATGATATTTTGCTTCCCCATGAAAAGCCCTTCACATGTAAATGTTTGACCTTGTTACCAATTTTGCACAGAAGGTGTCAGATTTCGAAGACTAGTAGTAATGTATAATAAGAGTAGTAATATATAAATAAACCCACCCTCTATTTCGTTGCCTAAAGTATTTTTTTAATGAAACACACGAAAATTGAGGCTGTAACTGGCTTGGTTTTGGAAGGGCCTTGCTAACTGTGGCTGCTTGGGCCCTTGCTTTCACCCTCGCTGGAGGCAGAGGAGCTCTGCTCTGGGGTCCTGCTCCCTCGTCAGGGTTTTCGCTTCTTCTAGAATCTACATTTTGTATTCAAAACCAAACCAAAACAGAAGTTCAAAACAAAAATTGAAAAGTCTGGGTTGGCTGAGATACCGTGGCTACTAAGCTAAACCTCGCTGACAATCAGGTGCCGATAAGAAAGTGTTTTCCACAGCAAAATCCTGATTTCTTCATTTCTTTTCTTAAACAGGGTTTTGTTGAAGAACTGTGTGAGTTTAGCGTTTTTGTATTTCTTTCCTTGGATCTAGTTAACAAATACAAAGTATTTCATATTTGTCTTCAGTGAAACACTGTAGTTAATATGCATGGGAAAGAGGTTTCCTTTTGCCAGTCAAGGCCATTGGCTCAAATTGTCTTATTGTTCCAATAGCCTTAAAGAACGTTTCCAAAATACTGATGTAAACACCGAGATGAGCTGGTTCTGTCCCACAAAGGACGAGTACATGGGCATTTGGAGGATATAACCAGCCCTGGCATCGCCACACCGACACTGTGGCACCCTTTGGACTTGCTCCTGGGCTTTGGCCTGGAGTGGAGTGTGTCGTGCAGGATTTTCTCAGATTGACCTAGAAAACTGTTGGCATCACCGACCTCAAAACTGGGACAGGCGCCGCCGTGCGAGCTCTGGACACCAGGCATGTGTAGGAGGCATCTCCTTATCAGCAGCACGGGGCCGTCTTTAAAGGGCACTGCTTGTTTCATTTTGTTTTGCTTTTTTCCCCTTTGCAAAGCCATTATGTTGTACCTGGAAAAAGAGACGTTACAGTGGAAGGGTATTGAAGAGCCGTGCGTGGGAGCCGAGCAGGTTGTTCACAGGAGGATCTGGGGGAAGAGCTTTGCTACCAACGCCTTCCCTCCCACCCCTCGTTCAGAGAAAATGAATTTACTTCCAGAACCAGACAGCAAAAGTGTCTTGTGTTTAGGTTAAGTATAAACTGGGGGAAAAGGGACAGTCTGGAGGTTGTGGAGAGCAGAGGGCTGGAAATATTGGGGGTCATGTTAGCGTTTGTATGAATAGCTTTGCAGCCAGGTCTCTGGACCTTCAGAAGTTTGTGCTCTGCGCAGAAATCTTTTCAGTGACACCCCTGTGGAGCAGAGCTGCCGTGTGCTTGTCCGAGTGTGCCGATTCCCTGGTGAGGAACAGCTTGTACCACGCATCGTTTTGCCAGCCTCRTGATCCTAGAGGAAAGGGTAGGGGGCAGAGCCGTCCTGATAGCAACGGTTGCATCACTCTAGTGGATTTATTAGGATCCTCCTGGGCCGTCAGATCGGAAAACATTTAGTCCTCAGCACAACCTTGTGGGATGTGTGTGGCCCGGTTTTCAGTGCTTCAGGGACCTGCATGTTGAGTAGTTGCCATCTCCTCTTTAGCTTTGGCTCAAGAACCGTTGGAAAATTATCAGATATTTTTGCCTTTTTAATACATTTCAGTCTTATTTATAATAAAACAGTTATATGGTTATAAGTATTATAAGAAGCTTCCATTGTATTAAAGATAGATAGGCGCTGGGTGAATAAGATGTACTCTATTTGAAAAATACTGCTTACATTTTTTAAGCCTTGCTTTGTAAATACCCACTTATAAGGGGCAATATTTCTTGTTTGGAAAGGACTCTTTGATTTTAATGTAATATAATCATCATTAATCCTTTTTTATGGCCCATATTGTGAAAAGATTTGAAGTGAGGCTGCATAGGGAATTACTAATTGCCACATTTTTTCCATAGTCAGATCTTAAATTCGTATTTGTTTGACTCGCACAAACAATGTAAGGAATAAACACATGCTAGGGATGCTTGTATTGATGAAGTTATGTCTTCCAGAATTTATTCCTGCTACGTAAAGGCTAACATTGTAAATAATGACCGCAAATTATAAATCTTACCAAAAAAAAAAAAAAAACAAAAAAAAGGAATAGAGAAACTTGACAGAAAATCATTAGCAGTGGGAATGGTTTCAATATGCACCAAGGATGTGTTTAAGATCAGGTTACACAAAAGTTAGATTCATGAAGAAAAGGCCCTGACCTGTTTGAACTGCAGGTTTCCAGCTGTTTAATCTTCACATATGGAAATGAAAGCTTCAGGCTTTCTCTGCTAAGTATTTTGAGTACTTTATATTAATGCTTTGAAGCTGAAAGGTATGTAGGAAGAAACCTAAAGGGCTGAACTCTCGCGCTGTGCATTAATTCCTCAGGAACGTAACGTATGATCGATGTTAAAATGTGCTCATGTTTGAGTTAGCCAGAAATGCAGTCCAGAAGTGTATCAAACACCAACGTGAAGTTATCGCTGTTTATTCAGATGTAACTTTCAGSTGCAATAATGTCTGTCTTTTTGAATTCTCAAAGGGTTTTAAACGTGCTGTCTGTATTAATCACAGAGCCAGGAAATGGGAATTCATCGCCCCAGCGGTCCTTCTCTTGCACCATTCAGCTCATGAAGCACCAGAGGTTCAAAGGGAGACTTCCCAGTTTAACTTTGCTGTCAACAAGATTACTGCTTTTTTTTTTTTTTTTGCCTTCAGATGGAAAAGATCAGTCAGGATGCAGCAGTAATGAACAGGAGAATGTGCCGTGGCCCAGCTGCTCCCTCCCTATGTCCTGGGCATAGGTCTGCTGAAGGCCACAGGAATGGGGGGCTACAGCCCCTGGCCTCTAGGTAAAGCTTATCTATTTGGCAGGAAATTTAACAAAGAAGTAGTTTTCCATTAGGACGCAATTCTTCAGGTAATAGATGATTTCTGTACTCTTGTAGATAATTCGTGTCTACTACCCAGGTAGGAACTGTAATTAATAGGCTGCTTTAGCTCCTCGAGCTGATAAAATCTCCAGAGCTAAAGATCTTCTTCTCATGCAGATGACACTAATGAGAAAATCAAAGCAAGATAAAAACCTGGGAAAGTTTTGTAATGCCTATTGCAAGTTATACTCTGTAGAGATGGCGAAGTCTGATGAGATGTTATCASACTTTCCTGTAAAGGAGGATGGGGGAAAGGCTTATCAATGGGGAGACTCCCCAGAAAACCCCACATGTGTAACATAGTGAAAACGGAACAGACCTGGTTTGGCAAAGAGAGGGCCTGGTTTGGCAAGAGGAGAGGGCTCCTTTTGCATCTCCCCTTCTGTGATTCTTGTGAGGAGCAGTGCTGGGTTCTGCAGGGAGCAGGCTGGTGCGTGCTAGGCAGGAGCTCCAGACAGCTCCCGTGAGAGCTGGGGGGATTCGAGTCTCTGCCGTTGCCTGCAGAGACTAGAAGTATAAGGGGGTGGTATTCGGTTCACTTTGAACTAAAAACCCAACTCCAGCTGGTTAGTTCTCTACCTATTCTATCTTTAAAGTAAGAGAGACTGCTTTCTCTGGACACRCTATTAAATTCAGTGCAGTTCAAAAGGTCTCCCCAGAGTCATCTAGTCTATCCTCAACTATCAAACAAAGCTTCTCCACTCTTGTATTCAATAATGTGTTCATTATTTGTCTAATCTTGACATCTTTTTCCAGAGTTGTATCCTAGACACCTTTTATTTGTCAGTGTAACAGATCTTCTTCTGTSTCTTTTTTTCCTGCCAGTAATCTTTTCCTCACTGACAAATTCCTACTTTTGTTCTAAGATACAAAATAAAGAATTGGAGTCTTAAAAAACACCAGGACTCGTGGTATAATAGCAGCTAGAACAATTATATGTGATCTAGAATTTCTTTTACAGTAAATGAGACAGTTGTTCTTGTATATCATATATTTAGTTTTGAAAAGCATGTTAATGAAAAGTTTATGCAATGAAGGCTGCTGTTTCCTAACATGARAACAGCAGTATATCATGCTGCTGTTTTGTGCATATGTGTGAGATGTAGATGAGGTAGTTCTAATATGGCTCCAGTGGGAGTTAGCTGTCAAGTAGCATTTTTTTCCTTAATTTGGTAATCAGTTTTCTACTCTCAATTAAAATTAGGGTCTTGTTTTTCTGTTTTAATCTAGTTTGTACTATTTGTCTAGACAAATAACTCTTCAGCCATTAGCCTCTTTCTTATTAGTATGTGTTTGCTTATCAATTGTCTGTTTGGAATTGTTCTAAAGTGTGTGATAGAATTTTTATTTGAATGTATCCTTTGGGGATATTAAAGTTCTGGTTATGAAAGTCAGTTGAATGCCCTTGAGGCTATGTTGTTAGCAAATACTGTGTGGGTTTCTGCCATGACTGTGAATACGTTAAGTGCTGGACTGCCAGTTTACAGTTTGAAACAGAATGTGGAAACTGTGATTTTTGCCTGTAAAATCTAAATTTACATTTTTTTCTCTTTTTTTGTTATGTTATGTATTATTTTTTCAAATACTGTATGTAGTTGTGCGGATTGTTCAGGAATTGTACAAAAGCAAAAAGCAAAGTGATGAAATGCAGTGAATTTGCATGAATGATCCTGCTTCTCTCCTAGATATTTGGGCAATTGGCTGCATATTTGCTGAACTGTTGACTTCGGAACCTATATTCCACTGTCGTCAGGAGGACATCAAAACGAGTAATCCTTTTCATCATGATCAGCTAGATCGCATTTTCAGTGTAATGGGATTCCCTGCAGGTAATTTATTTTCATTAAAGGGCAAACTGAATCTTGTTCCAAAAGGGGCGCTGAGTTGTTTTTACAGGTAGGCAAAAGCTGTCAGTGTGATGTATTTGGAAGTGTTGACAATTATGGGGCAATAATACCAGCAAACATAAGAACTCAAGCAACTCCTGTAGCTGTTGATTCTCACATGTTACTTAATCTCTCCTTTAAGTATTTGAAATGCTTCTCTCCTTTTTTTCTTTTCCTCCTCTCCACGAAGATAAAGACTGGGAAGACATAAGAAAGATGCCGGAATATCCGACTCTTCAAAAAGATTTTAGAAGAACAACGTAAGTGGATGATAGAAAAGTTCAGTGAATCTAGCCCATGTGCAGAAATCAGCTTCTGCTGTCTTTGAACTTTTCTTTTTGCAGTTGTTTCTGTTGTAGGACTGTGACAGCTCTCCTGTTTTAAATTGGCTGTTTTGCTTGAAGGGCATCCCTAAATTCTTAAAAGCATCAGCTGGGTGGCCTCAGTTCTGTAGAAGGGATGACCTTTTGGGAGTACCATTTAGTCTGTGACAGGCTAAATGCAATGGGGTTGTTTAAACAACTTATTCAAGATAACTTCATTCATTTTGTGTGAGAAGGAATAGGGAAGAATCTCCCTCATCCCTTAGAGCAGCAGAGACCAGAGCCAGTAATGTGGCGGTCATAAGCTGCTGTGGAAGATAATGTGTGCAACAGATAGGGATGCAAAGTCCATCTGGGATCTGAGAATTTCCTGCTTTTATGTTGCCAAGTGCTTTGTCTAAATTAGTCAGGTGATACTGAAAGTTCAGAAGGCATAAGGAGCAACACAGATTCGTTCATGTTTTAAGGAAGAGGAATGGGATTCTGGAGCTTTGGATTCTGTGTCTGGCTCTCTTACGGTTTCATTATGCGGAGTTAAACAAGATAAGAAACTGTTCTGTACCTGAAGTTTCTTTCTCTTTGAAGCAGCCGTAGTTAACCTCTGGATTGATAGATTAAAGGCAAGACCCAGGTCGTAACATATTCTGGGTGTTTTCAACCTCTACAGCTATATTGACTGTGTGGCTGTAGGTACCTGAGAACGTTGCATGTTCCATAGAAACAATCTACAGCCAGCGGATTTTCCTGCTGGTACTGCTACCATTGTTACTGAAAGACAGGCTTGGAGTGTCAACTGCTGGATTTCTGATGGCAATTCTGTTCACATTTTATTTGTTAAAGGCTGGGAAGTGTTTCAGTGATGACTTGGTGGAGTTCTGAATGTTAACGCTGCTTTCTTTCTGAAATGTCCTTGTCAACAATATTTTTCAGGTATGCCAATAGTAGCCTCATAAAATACATGGAGAAACACAAAGTCAAGCCTGACAGCAAAGTTTTTCTTTTGGTAGGTACAATTTGAATATCACTGTGACACTAGGAGTGAAATGTGTTTCTGGTTACATCTTATGCTTATTCTAATGAACACCGCTATGAAAGAAATCTGTTTCTCACTAATGAGGCCGTTTGAAATGTCTGTACGTTCATGTTCAGGGTGTGCTTAACCTGCTGCCACTCCAGATCTGAATTACTTTTCTAAATAAATCTGCAGGGCATTTGTGTTCCCAGTCCCACTCCTAGGCTTGCTGTACAAATAAAACAGTGTTATGTATCCCCTGGTTCCTCTTGCCTTCTGAATCCCAAGAGCTAGAGACTTATGTGGGACAAAAGGGGAAGAAAGGCAGATAAATGTACACGTAGGCAAAACAGTACATGCCTTGTGAAAGATCCACAGAAAAGAGCAAAGCTTGAAGGAAAGATGTACATTGCTCTCCCATATCAAAGGATCAGAARAGCACCTGTCTTGGAGGCTGGGAGTATTGTTGACTCTGAAGAAGACTTGAAGCCTCTTGTGTGTATCTGAGACAGTTAGGTTGTTTTTTGCGCTTTGTTTTTGTAAGATGAGCTCTGAGGAGATCTTCCAAACCCGCTTGGACGCAGCCCCGTGCCACGTGCTGTAGCTGACCCTGCRTGTGCAGCAGGTTGGACTAGGTGACCTCTAGAGGTCCCTTCCAACCTTAAGAATTCAATGATTCTGTGATCTCCTTTGTAATCTTGGTTGATTGAGATTTGGAGCTGATGTGTTCAGCAAGTCTAACAGATAGAGAATAGGTGAATATGGTACCACATAGGAGAGCAAGTGACTCTTGACAAGGAGGAGCGTATCGCGCCACTCTTCAAACTGATGCAGAACGTTAACGTCTGCATGAAAGCCAGGAAGTCTTTCCATCCAGRAAGAGAGGCATCTGCTCTTGCTGCCCGTGAATAGCTACAGACATTATATTTATAGCCGTCRTGTCAGGCCGGTAGAGCCTGACAGTCGTAATCTTGAACTGGAGAGCTTCCAAGGAGTGTGAGAGTCTGGTCATAGACACCAGTCTCACAAGCTTTCCCCATTGTGACAGTGACTCTTTCCCTGAAAGGAAAACATGTCCAGACTTTTTGRTTGGTTGCTCACTTTCCTGGAGGCAGCAGAAGCTACAGAACTGGTCTGTGTCTGTCTGGAGAAGGTCATCCCCCAAGGTGCACACAATATCCGTTTTAGAAGGATATTTTGTGGCATCACCTGGAATGGGCAAACTCATTGTATTCTTTGGGATGGAAAGAGATTATTAGGAGAGAGAGAAGCTCCTGCTCTTCTGCCCATGACCACATGCAGTACCAAAGAGCAGGACTGGCYGCATAAGAGCGTTTGTCGCTGCAGTCACTGTGAAAGAGTGAAGGAGGGGTATTTTGAATCATGTAACGGTGCCACAAGCTAATAAAGTTAATGGTAGGAAGAGTTGTGATTTGAAAAAAAAAAATGGTGGTGAATGGGTAATCAATATAATTTCTGTTTTGTACTACTGATATATTATTGACTTCATTTTTAGGTCTGGTGCACTCAGTAGCCTTCCAGCTAGCAAAGTCAGTATTGTTTTCCTTCTAGTAAGGAGGAGAGGTTGCGAGGAAGGGACTGCTTCTTCTCTTTCTCATGTCAGTGCCAATTAGAGTGGGATTTTGGCCTGTGTGAGTGACAGAGCGCACTGGCCCTGAGGTGTTTCCTAGGGGAGAGAGGAAGATTTATTGTTTTCATTTCTAATGTGATATGTAGAGGCCTGGTTGTATTCAGAGCCTTCTGTGATGATGCTCTTTTCCCGTTATATCAGCAGTAAGGAACAGTATAAAAGTTATAAAGGTTCTAAAACCAAAGACCATTATTTAGAAGTGATGCTTTATGATCTTTTAATAGTTGAATTTAGCACCGCTATAGCACAGCAGTTCAGCCTTAACACTTAAAACTGCTAGATACTTAATTGTATTTTTTTATGTGATAAGTCCTTCATGGATGGATGTGTGTTCYGTTGCTTGGGACATTTACTGATAATGAAATGCTGATGTATGCTTGTGTGGACAAGCCACAAATGATTTAACAGTCCGTGATCTAAGATGTACTACAAGTCATAAGTTTTAAAAGTGATAGTCTGTCAAGCTTTTTACTGCTCTAATGTTACACTTTGCAGCTTCAGAAACTTCTTACTATGGACCCTACGAAGAGAATTACCTCAGAGCAGGCTTTGCAGGACCCCTACTTTCAAGAGGATCCTCTGCCTACATCAGAGTATGTATTCCCTCTACTGTGCTCTGCAGGAATATCTTCTCTCTGCGAAATGCTAATCTCTGATCATGAGGAAACAGCTGAAAATTTGAGATAGCTCCTAGTGGCCGCAGTTTGGGCACACACGGTAGAAACTGCTTGTGCAGCTTCGAAGAGTCTGTATCTGCTGGTGCTGRAGCTGAATGGTCCCGTATCGGTAGGACTGCAGTTCTGAACCTGTTACCAACTGAGGTGTCAGTGCCATTGCAGTGTTCAGAGTATAAATCTGAACCTCTTCTGTGCACTTGCATAACTTCACACAGCCCTAGACCAGTTGCACTGGGACTCTCCCAGAACTAGGACTCTTCTCTGATCCACAGCTCATTCCCATACATGTCCTCCTCTTCTGGTGGCCCTCACTGACCTATCACTGGCCCTCAGTGACAGGACAAGGGGCAATGGGTACAAGTTGAAATGCAGGAATTTCCATCTCCATGTGAAGAACTTCTTTCCTGAGAGGGTGCCAGAGCCCTGGCACAGGCTGCCCAGGGAGGCTGTGGAGTCTCCTTCTCTGGAGATCTTCCCAACCCGCCTGGATGCCGCCCTGTGTCCCGTGCTCTGGGTGTCCCTGCTGGAGCAGGGGGTTGGACTGGATGATCTCTAGAGGTCCCTTCCAACCTCGACCATTCTGTGATTCTGTGATTCTGTGATTCTGTGATACTACTTGATACCTAGGTTAGGCACTTTAAAAATCAAAGTATGTTGATTGTGCTGTATTGTAAATGAAATCTTAGATATCTGTCAATGTCCAGAATTGTTGCAGTTGATTGTGGCTAAATATCCACCTGTGATTTTCTATTTAATATTATATCTGATGCTATCCTATGTAGCACTGCAGCTCATTCCTGGATTACAAGATAACATTATGATGAAGTATCTGCTGTAAATATCAAGGGATGCTCCAAATCCTATTAGCTAACTCAGTTTAAAAGCTGTCTTTGTTTTTTTCCTAAACAAGACCTGAGAGAGCAAGGCCTTGTTACTAATTGATAGTAGCTCTGTAGCAGTGCTTGGCAAATACATTTAAAGCCCATTGCAAGTCAGAGGGACTCATAAGACCTTATTTTTCCGTATTTCAAGCCCTTTATTCAGTGAGCCATGCCTGCTCTAGCTAGGTGCTGTGCAGCCTCTGGCTGCTGTGACACTGTATTTATTCATTTTGTCATCAGAATCAACAAGTGGTCTCTCTGGCATTCAGGCATTCAGCTGTGCTGTGATTTCTAAATGAGGGCATCTTGCCAGCGCAGAAAGGATCTGATACTGTGGTCACCATCTAATTGCTCATGTGTGCTGCTCTCTTGGGTGTTTACAGTGCCATTTGCTTATGGAAACAGGACTCAAAAAATACGAAAATTAAATTGTGTTAGATTTCAGATTTTTTTAATAGAACATTAAGCAAAGATATTTTATATACATATTTGCTGAGTGTTTACTGWTTGCTGTATTTCAGTGTATTTGCTGGCTGCCAGATTCCTTATCCTAAACGAGAGTTCCTCAATGAAGATGAACCTGAAGAGAAAGGGGATAAGGTATAATAAAACTTCTTTTTTCTTTTCTTTTCTTTCACATATGCAACAAGGAAGAGTCATGATGCGCCCACATGAAAACTGATACAATGTGAATGGTTAACCAAAATSATATTTTTTCCAGGCAAGGCTGTCTCAAAACTGCTTCACAGCAAATGAAAAATATCACATGACTTTGGAGGTGTCTCAGTCCAGCAGAGTTAGTCCTGACTTGTGGGGAATGAACTGGATGAGTTGTTTGGTCAGCAGTAGCCTGCTTTCGTTCTGAGCAGCTGCCATCATTCTGRGAGGACCTAAAGAGGCCCTGGCCTCTGTCTCCTCCTGCTCTGCATGATGAAAATCCATCACGCTCACATGAAAAGAATAGTATTTCCATTGTATGATTGGCATGCGTCCAAGCATTTGAAGGGAGATGGTTGTCAAGGTCTGAAATGAATAGTGCTAGCCTGCTTCTGGCACTGCATCAGAACCTTTCATCCATCTGCACGTAGTCCTGATCGTGCAGAAGGGCCTTCAGACAAAGAAGTAGTAAGGACCATGAGTTCTTCTGAGAGCAGCRGTCTGCTCTGAATACCCTCTTTCCCACGACCTCTCAGATGCGGGCAAGAACCTGTCTCCATTCATGCTAAATTTTGGTGTATTTGGGACATGCTTGATTTGCTGAGGTGTGCTACATAGCCAGGGTGAATGTCCCCTCATGGCGTGAAGGCTGGATAGTACAGCTCTAGTGCATTAGAAATCTAGTTATTTTCACTTAAAAGTCTACAGTGAGGCACCAATAAGAATGAATACCAAGGTAAAATTGAAGAAGCCTTTTTTGTAATGAGCTGAGGGCTGCCTGAGAGGGGAGCCTGCTGCCTATGTGTATCTTCTGGTTCAGATACTTGAAGCATGGCAAGAACCTAGCAGAGCTGTTTCTAAAAGCATGCCTGTCAATACATTTCAGCCAGTAAATTTTGTTCTCTGGACAGATATTATAGATTCTGTTGTACYGAGAACAAATAGTAATAGGACAAAGTACTGAGGACAAATAGGACTTGACAATGTCAAGTGGGGGGTTTTGGCTTTTGTGGTTTTTTGTTGTTGTTGTTCAGATAGTTTTTCAAAAAGAGGAAACAAAGATCTAAACGAAGTTGCAATGAAAGTCATGATACTGCTTTGATTGTAATTTAGATACTAGCTTTGCTCTAACTCTCACAGCTTTAAAAAACAAGAACAAACCTTATGAATTAAAATGACTTTGGCTTTTGTTAAGTTAGTGCATTTAGAAGTAAATATCTGGTTTTTGCATGGGACCTTTGGGGGAAAAACAATGGAATGTTTATATACAAAACAGCCATTGTATAAGTGGTCTTTGTGATTGCTGGGGACTGTCACGTATTTAYGCACACTGCAAATGAAACCTTTTTCAGACCGTGTAGTTAATTTAAGTCACGTATTACTCATTGGATCTGTTCTCACAGTGCAGAATATATGAAGGCAAAGCGTGTTCCAAAATGGGACCTGTGCCACGTTTCATTTCTTTATGCTGGTGTTCCGAGTGAAAGAATTTTCTTTTTTAATGGTGTTACTTTCTGATTTGTTTTCAAACCATAAATATCTGTTTAGCTCTGGAAACCTACAGGGCTGCTCTGTGCTTATTTATGTGGAACTTGCATCTTTGAATAACCTTTCACATAAGCAAGCTCAGAATGTGTAATCACCAGTCAGGAGGGTTAAATGCATAAAACAAATCCATAAAATAAAATGAAAAGATTCCTTTCTCATTACAGTTCTGTTAAGTAAGTTCTGTTAGATTCATTTCTGCTAACTAAGACTGGATTTTCATTCTAGTAACGTGGGTCTCCCTGAGACGTGGTAGTGTATTGCTAACTCTAGACCTAAACCAAGTTTATTTCATCTAGGAACCACCATGAACTAGGCTGACCAGAGCATGTTTTTGCTGGCATGAGCTCTTTTCTGCACTAAGATCATTTGCCAGAACAGCTGGGCCTCAACCAGAATCTAGCACAGAGTAGATCTCGGTCTCTACCAAGGCAGTAAGAGCAGTAGCTGCATGGAAAAGCAATCTCAGCTAGTCAGGTAAATTGTGTGTTAATGTCCAGAGTTAGAAACCGTAGGATCTAAGACAAGCTGTTATTCATAATTATGTTAGTTCTTGCCATGTTTGTTTACATGTAATGAAGTTGCAGGTTTTCAGCTCTCACAGTTTTAGCCCTCTCTTCCATCCAAGCACCCCTACGGAAATAGAAATCRCGGAGTGTGAGCGCAAATGCAGGCTTAGTTACTGAAACCTGTTTATATAAGTGAAGTTCAAACCATTGCTAAAAAAGATAAATTGCTTCTTAAAGGAAGGTGAAATTTAATTTTAAAAGTTAATCAAGCTAGCTTGTCAAAATCTATGTGGAAATAGAATCTGACTGGCATGGGATTTGAGGAYTTTAGGCAGTAGGATGTAATAGTGGTTTTGCTAAACATTTGGTGGAAGTACAAGCCACTCCTAAACCCCTGAAGATGCAGTGGTTCTGTGTGATCGTAAATGAACATGTCATTGCAAATTTCATCGGAATGTGTCTTGGGAAACTGTTGTGACAAATGCCATCACAGCAGATTTTCATGTCATTTATCTGAGGTAACTAAGTGGCCACTGATTATCGAGGGTGTCAGAAAGTTTCTCCTTGTGGCGATGGGTTGCTGTGATTTCTGAGAAATTAATAATGTGAGATTTTTATACAAGTCTGTCATGCTTTGGTAATTGCATAAGCAGGCATTCTAGGGGAAAAGAAAAAAAGACTATCCCGAAATACTCCACAGTCCGGRTATTTTAGGGGTTTTATTAAATGCAGGGCTTTTTAACTCATCATGAATATGATAGGGGTTTTTTGTTTTTTGTTTTCGTGGTCAACAAGCCACATATCTCATATTTGGAGAGAAATTGCTTTTTTTGCAATTCTCTTCCTTGCCTCAGTTGTCTGTTGGAGAAGCCCTGCTTGAAAGCAGGGAAATGAACGGTGATTCCTTGTTGGTGTCTCCCAAGGAGATCATGGTTGTGCTCTCCTGGTTTTCCAACCTTCCCTCCAGTCTCCTGGCCATCCTTCCAGTCCATAACCACCTAGAGCCAGAACAATACAGTGACTTTTGCTTTTGTGTTCCCTTCCTTAACTTTTTTTCTCCCTTTTGTGGCAGCTTTGTCTCTCTCGCTGCCAGGCCCCTGTGTCATCTCAGTTTTCTGTGACTTAATTTTTCTTTCTGTTGCTGGATTCTTCCATCCTCCTTTGTTCCTTCTCCTTACTTATCTCTGGGTAATGTTCACTTTTCTGCTATTTCAGTTGCGTTTTCTGACCCCATACCTAGCACACCCCGCTCAACTGTATTCCCTCTATGCCTCTCTTTCCCAAGTGCTGAAAGCACAAGAGAGTTAAGCAAAGGTAATGCCAAAGGTAACGAGAACACCCACTTCCCGTGGCCTCGCTCTGCTGCCCACTCCTCCAATTCCCTCAGCGTGCGGCACRTGCGGGCTGCAGAGCGGAGGCAGCCCCGGCCGCGGCGGGAGCGGGCGGCACGCGGAGCGCCCCGCTCAGCCGCGCTGCCCCGCGTGCCTCTCTCCTAGAACCAGCAGCAGCAGAACCAGCACGGGGCGCAGGCGGCGCCGCAGCCGCCGGCGCAGGCGGCACCGCCGCCGCCGCAGCCGCCGCCGCAGCAGAGCAGCAGCCAGACCAACGGCACGGCCGGCGGCGCCGGTGCCGCGGCCGGGGGAGCCGCCGCCGCCGCCGCGGGGCTCCAGCACAGCCAGGACTCCAGCCTCAACCAGGTGCCTCCCACCAAGAAGCCGCGCATGGGGCCGTCAGGCGCCAACTCGGGCGGGCCTGTCCTGCCCTCGGAGTATCAGGTAAGTGCTCCCGTGCGGCCAACGGGGCCCTGCCCCGCTCCAAGCACACCTGGTAATGACTTTTCATTGCAGGCTCTGATACACTAGATAAAATTGTGGGTTTAAAGCCTATCACGGYACTAGAAGGGGAAAGGGTACTGCAGTCGGTGATTTTCAGGAGAGCACCAGTGCCCTATTGAGGACTGGCCCATTCCAGCAAAGCACTTAACCATACGCTCAGCTCGTACCATATATCAAATATCTGAGGGGAGAATGTAGGGAGGAAGGGGCCAAGCTCTTCTCATGGGTGTCCAGTGATAGGACTGAAGGGTAATGGGTATAAGCTGAAACCCAGGCAGTTCCATCCCCAGGTGAGGAAGAACTTCTTTCCCGTGAGGGTGCCAGAGCCCTGGCACAGGCTGCCCAGGGAGGCTGTGGAGTCTCCTCTGGAGATCTTCCAAACCCGCCTGGATGCCGCCCTGTGCCCCGTGCTCTGGGTGTCCCTGCTGGAGCAGGGGGTTGGACTGGATGACCTCTGGAGGTCCCTGCCAACCTCAACCACTSTGTGATTCTGTGATTTGAGAATACCTTACTGAAGTCAGTAGACCCCTTGCATGCGTTCAGGTGCTGTGGTGGATCAAGTTCAGAATACCCAGCTCTTGGCAAGGTTAAGTCATATATGACAAACAGGAGCCAAGCTAGTATCAGGCCCTTTCGTTAGATTTTTAGTTTATTCTAGCTCGTCTCATCGCAATCCCTAAATAAAAGCAGCATCACTGAATTCTTTTCGAGTTTGCATACCTTCCTAGAATTATGGTTTCTCTCCTCTGAAAAAAAATGGATTTAGACAGTATATATAAAGCACTGGATGAACAAGAATTGCTATTAATATAGAAGAAAAAGTAGATATTACAAGATAAGGATTTTATCTGCTTCAGTGTTTTGAGAGGATTGCTTTTAACTTAAACAATAAAAAAAAAAAAAAAAAAAGGAAAAGCTGTGGAGTTGCTTTGACTTAGGCCTCCGGATCTCCTCCATAGACAATTGGTTTGTCAGTGCCAAACATTTTTCTCCCCTTTCTGTTTTACTCTTACTTACAAATGCTCATGGAGACATTGAGGRCAATTTCAGGGTAAAGACAACTAGGTTTCTTTTTTGAAAACTTCCAGACAGGCTTGAGGTCTGGACAGATCCCTGCAGCTGTCTGGCTACGTAGTATTTATGGCTGGCCTGATTGGGTCTATATTTTGGGGACTGGTGTGCTCTGCTTGATGATATCCATTATAGGATGCTTTTAAAACTCTCTGAATTGTTGGCAAGCTTCCCCCTTGCAAGTTTTTAGCAGTCTGATTCTCGTCTTTTGAGATAATTAGATTCTTTTTTTCCCCTGTGACTCCTTCCTTCTAGACGTTTCCTTTGATGCCTGTGCCGTTAATGATCTATGTGTTCCCTTTACGTCACCTACCAAATTGTATGATCTGATTATCCATTTTTACACTTGTGTTTGGCTCTCTGCCATTCGATCCTGGTAGGCTCACTCCTGTTCCAGAAAGGAATGTCTGCAATTTGTCCAAGTCTGACTTTGTTAAAACAAATTCCCTTCTGTGGAACTCAAATAAGCGTGGGCAAGTTAATATGTTCTTGTAGTCTTACAGCATTAATTTAATCCATTATATCTTATTCAGAAGTAGGAAGAAGAATCCCAAAACTTTGGCTTGATTTAGCCTTTAATCTAAAATCTCTCCTGCAAATATTTTTGCAGCAGCAAACACCAACACCAGTCTTTGCTGCTTCCACAAGTGACAGTGCAATCCCTTAACTTTACTAGGCACTCCCTATGTGGTCTTGCTTAGCACTGGAAACTGATGCTTTTCATCCAGAACTAGTTCCTACATAATAAGCAAAAGCTGCAAAAGCTTGAAGAATTCTGAGACAAATGCCAGGTTTGGGGCATTCTCTCAGTCATCCAGGCAYGCATGCCAAGCGTAATGTGGTTGCTAGTAGCATGCTTGCTGCTGAGGGACGTCTCTTCCAAAGCCAGTGTCTTGAGCTGTTGTCCCCCAGACTGTCCCTTGCACCCCAAGGAGTCACACCACGCAACCTAGGGGGAATGCTGATGTTATGTGGAGGTACAGTGGCCACACAGCAGACCTGTTAAGTTATAAACCTGTGCAAAGAATGCGTGAGGAGCTGAAATGTTTTACACTGCCCATACCTGGGGTTTTACTGTTCATCATCCATCTGGAAGACTATCGGGACGCTTGCGCAGCTCTCCTAGTTGGGATCCGGTTGTTGGATGAGACTTGGGTATTGCCCTCACTGAAGAGGCATCTCTTCCCCTTTCCCCACAGGGTTTCCATTGAGGAATCTAACTTTTTCATGGGATTTGGGGTTTGTGTAACTCGTAGTTTTGGTATTTGGTCAGAGTATAGGTGCTTAGCACTTTTCCTGGAGGACTCTTGTTGGCTGCAGTCCCCTGGGCAGAGCTGGATGGAGCCATCACTAAGCAGTGACCAGAACTCCTTGCTGAATGAGTCTCTGCCTCTTGGGACTTTCTTGTGCACTGGGGTGAAGTTTGCCCTGCTAGAGAGCCTCTTGTACAAGTGCTCTTCATGCAAACAGGGATTTCTGATGGGTGGAATGTTTTAGGGAAGAAATGCTGATGCAGTTCACTGCTGATGCTTGAAGGGTTTGGTAACAACCGTGCAGTTCAAGCAGGCTGGAGGTSGCAGATGATGCTGGAATTTGGCTTGCTGAGGTCAGGGTCCCTCACAACATCTGAGATGCTGAAGAAAAGAGCATCCAGGGAAGTGAATGCTGGGATGTTGCCTGCCTGTAAGTGGGTACCTTCCTTCCAGGAGATAAAACAGCAGGTAGGAAGTTGGGTTGATACCATTTTAGGTTAATGAAGTCATATGGCTGTCTTTCTCAGCAATAGAATGCATCAGCTCTCTGTAACTTTTATTTCTGCCTTTCTTGAAAAGGGTGCTTGTGCTTAACAGTTGTTTCTCTGTGCGTTAATTTAACAGGGCTGTACAATAATGATAGGCTGCAGTTTCAGAAACAATTGAAATGCAGATATATTTCAACGAGCTTTGGAGAGCTCAAGGGTTTCCCGAGGTTCGTAGTGCTCCCGGCCTGTTCTTCATTCGCTCACGCCCCTCTCTCTCTCCCCAGCACTCCAGCTCACGCCTGAGTTACCAAAGCAACATTCAGGGATCTTCTCAGTCCCAGAGTACGATGGGCTACTCCACGTCGTCTCAGCAGAGCTCTCAGTACCACCAGTCTCACCAGRCTCACAGGTACTGAGGCCTCACAGACTGCACTCGGAAAGGGGTGGACTCCAAGCCACAAGACTCCAGCAATATGAAGTTCACATCGACGAGAAGAACCAAAAATACAGACTGTGATGCAGAATGAAAATTTACCCTTGCTAAAGGAAAACTTCACTTACTGAAGACTTTTTTCCTGCCCCCTGCCCCGGCTCTGTCCCTTTATTGCCATAGAGGAGATTCTGGAGAAGTTTTTCCTTCCTCCCTTCCCCTGCATGTGTTTTCTTGTGGTTACTCTGATGAACCCTTCTGATCTGAACCCAGCACTTAACTTCTTTAACCTTTGGAATTTTGAAGGATTCCTGGTGCACCTTCCTTATACTGTAGTGATTGCCATAAATCTGTCTTTTCAAATCTCTTTGATGGGATTTTAAAGTTTTAAAATCTTGAACTCCCAGGCTTTCAAGCTTGTATATAGTTAGTTTTATACTAGGCAAACCAGTTTAGCTATACAGGTATATTGCACCTTTTTAAAGCACTATGTTATTTTCACAGGATATTACTGTTTTGCTCATGGATGTCAAGAACAGCAAATTTTACTGTTCCAGAGTATTTTACTATTCTGTTTTTATTAGTCTAGTTTTCAGGCGAGGTCTTAAAAATAAAAAGGAAAAGAAAAAAGGAAAAGGGGAAAAAAAGGAAAAAAAKAAAAAAAAAAGAGAGAAAAAAAAGCAACCCAAGTCTCTGTCTGCAGCAACAAATATGCTTCATGCTACTGGACTGAACACCAGACAAAAAGATTGCTGATATTTCTTAGCTCATTCACATTGAATTCTTGAAATCGCAGTGATCGTGCGCTGACTCGTTTTAACTTAAGCGTCATTTTAAATGAAACCATGACAGTCACATCAAAAGGAGATGCTTTCAGGATCCATTGGAACAGAAGAATGGAATGTCTTCCCAGGCTGGACACCAAAATAGTCAGGAAAATGTATTTACTGCCCTCAAGTCTCGGTAGGAGTGTGGCTGATAGGCTTGTTGTTCTGTTAAGCTGATTAATGCATTTAAGAGGTCTATACATTTAGCTTCTCTCTCACATCCCTGAGTTGGTTTCCTAAGTATAAAGGTGGTAGAACTTCTAAGATTTGCAAAAGCAAATACACTTAATCATTTTATGTCAGAATGAATAATTAAGAAAAAGAAATATTGTGTAGTTTGAAAGGCATGTTGGACATTTGCTCCTTTTTCATGTTTATAATGCATATTCTGTTTCCCTCACATTGCAGTGATTAACCCAGATTAGTTACACCAGATGCGCTTGATTGCACTGAAATGTTTCTTTTTCCCTAGAGCAAACATGTTTTGATTGTGCCTAAAGACTGTAAGTGGATGGGTAGCTGGCAGTAAATCCCCAGTAAATAAGCAGAGTTCATAAGCATAATCAGAGGATCATTGTCCAACTTCTGCAACCACAGTTATTTGGAGAGACACAACATGTAATTTGGGGCAGCTTCATTTTTTTTTCCAGCCTTTAGAAATAGGGCTGATTCCTGTTGCATAAAACTAGGGGAAAAAAATAATGTATTTAGAAAGCTACTAGCTGTGTAACATCAGCTAGTTCTTCTAAAATTGCTCATCCAGAGAAAAGGTGAAGCAGGACAGGTTTATATGTAAAGAGTAAAAGTGCCAGGCCCTTACACTGCCAAATGTGCTCTTCTGTCCAGTGTCTGTGCAAGAAACAGCAAATACCAGTGCACAGTCACACAGAAATGATGGTCAGACCTGGCAAGATTAGCAGATCTGTTTGCTCTGAGGAGAATGCCTTTTTTTTTTCTTTTAATCACAACTGGACAAGAGGAAAAAATATGTTTTTCTACTGGGTTTAATCTCCCCAACACCTTTCGTGCCCTCCCGCCCCCTCAGAAATGTGTTGTTTCCATGCCTTGCGTGAGCACTTGGTTTGGTGTGGCTGTGTTTGCTGTCAAGTGGCTTGGACAAGACCCAGCTTCCCTGGAGAAGGGGCTGAAACCTCCTTTTGTCATCAGGTGGGTGGGAAGGTGGTGAAAATGAAAAGCAATTTGCAGGAAAAGAAAAGTCACCAGTTCTGTCAAGGGAAAAGTTATCTCCCAAGGGGTATTTTTCATGTGTAGTCCTCACGATGCTACATATTATATATACCCTGGTAGCCTGTCTGAAGGCACAGATTTTTACTGTTTATTCTATTTCAGTGAGTTCAGGGTTACGTTCTTTCCATAGGTGGAATTTCCCACCTCTTACCACTGTTAGGAGAAAGCACCTTTCAGCCAATAGAGACTTGACCAATGCCATACGATACCAGTGTCTCGATGTCTTATGATTTGACTTTTGCTTTTCTGGAAAGGAACCTTTGGCAGAGTGATTTTGCTTGTCCCTCCGGTGCTTTTCACCCTTCCCTCCTCTCCCCGCGCTCTCCTCTCTTCCTCGTAGTTTCCTAGCGTTTGTCCTGCCCGTTCGGGAGCCCGCAGCCCATCCCCGGGACTGAGGTAGTGGCCGGCGGTGACGGGGAGCCGTGATGCCCGAGGGTCCAGCTGGGCTCCTGCRCCCCGAGGCAGACCCGCCGCGGCGCCAGGTCCACGTGTGCCGGGTGGAATGCCACGGTGCTGCGCGGTGCTGTGGGCGGCTGCGCTTCCGGAGCCACTGCCCGGAGCCTGGGCTAAGCCAGAGGGATGTTGGTGGTTTGGGAGGCCCCACAGCCGTCTCAGGGTGTTCATGAGGCCCCTCAGCCATCTGGGATGTTCGTGAGGCCTCTCAGCTGTCCCGGGATGTTCGTGAGGCCCTGCAGCCATCCCGGGATGTTAGTAGTTCGGGAGGCCTCGCAGCTGTCCAGGGATGTTGGTGAGGCCCCGCAGACATCCCGGGATGTTGGTGGTTCATGAGGCCCTGCAGTCGTCCCAGGATCGTCCCATGGGGTCCCACAGCCATCCTGGGATGTTTGTGAGGCCCCTCAGCCATCCCGGGATGTTCATGAGGCCCTACAGCCATCCGGGATGTTGGTGAGGCCCCCTCAACTGTCCCAGGATGATCATGAGGTCCCTCAGCCATCCTGGGATGCTCACGAGGCCCTGCAGCCATCCCAAGGTATTGGTGAGGCCCTGCAGCCATCCCAGGATATTTGTGAGGCCCCGCAGCCATCCAGGGATGTTCATGAGGCCCCACAGCCATCCCAGGATGTTGGTGGCTGCTGAGGCCCCTCAGCCGTCCCCCATTGCAGCCCGCTCCGTTGCGTGCGTGGAGGCCGAGCCGGGCCCGGCGCCACCGGAGCGGGAGAGCCATCGGGAGAGCTGTCGGGATCCGAAGCGGCTGTGGCAGGACGAGCGCTGGGCACACGCTGCCTGCCTGCCTTCTGCCTGCGAGACCCTCTGCCCWTCYCGGGAACCTTAACACGCGCTTGGGGCGGGCAGCGGTGCTGGCCAAAGGAGCCGTGTAGGAAGCCAGGACCGCATCATTTACACAAACATATATATATATATATATATATATATATATATATTTTTTTTTTTCTTGTTCAGTTTTGTTAGTTCCTAACTTTGTCTTAGCCCTTGCTGCCCTCACCAAAGTGTTTCACGCCGGTAGCGAGAGGACCAATCGCCGCTGCAGCCGGAGTTTCCTCCTTCCCATCGGGAGAGCGGGCCCCAAAATGCCGTTTTTCCTGGCTCGGGATGAGTGAGGAATGGGATTAGCAGCCTAGTCCRCGTTGGAGGAGTTTATGTAGCACAAACGGCACCGTGAAGGAGACCTCGAGGGGAAGCTATGCGTCCCACACTGCATCTGTGGCACTGTATTGGGGAGGGGGGGAGGGTTCCAATATGTATCATATTTTATATAAACATAATAAGCCTAGTTCCCCTTCGTAATCTTCAGGAATGGTACTTTAACACCATTAAGCAAAGAGCTCTTTTAGGATTAAATAAATGTATTGTACATATAAGGCCATATGTAATCTTCTTTAAAAAAAAAAAAGTCGCCGGACAGGAGCGATGTGTATTACTATATGAAAAAAAGTCCTTAATGCACTGTTATCTCCTAAATATTTAGTAGTAAATTAATACTATTTAATTTTTTAAAAAATTTGTCTTGTGTAGACACTAAAAAGTATTACACAAAAGGTGGACAGAACACGTCCTTTTTAACAGCAATTTAAAGAACTTTTTATATATGTAAGGTAGTATACTTTTCAAATTGTTCTAGTTGTATTTTCCCATGTTTACTATTTGTGGAAGTGTGCCTGTCTCTATTCAGTTATGTTTTTTTCCTATTAATTTCATGCACGCATCTTTCGTTTTTGTAGTTTTCATTAGGTTCTGTACGCGCCTCGTGCTGCCCCAACACGTCGCCGCTTCAGTTCTGTGGTGGCCACATTCAGCAGTGCCCATGCCCATGGGGTGGCAAGACCACAAAACAAACTCTTTGTTCCTCATTCTAGAGTTAAGAGTTTACTGCTTTTAAGTTGTCCTGATGTCACTCTTGAAATGACTGTTAAAACTAAACTATGAGTTCATTGCATTTATTTTATATTCTTGGTTGTAATGAAATGGAATTGACTTTGCTTCAGTGTGAATTTTTTTAATAAAATAATATACATTTGTAATAATAATAAAAAGTTCAAATCAAATAAGTGTGCTGAAAAGTTTTGGTTTTTTTTTTTTTTTTTTTTTTTTTGTCATTATCACATAGGCAACCTATAGGGAAAATACAGCCCACAGAATTGCTGTTGTAATTATATTCAGGATGTTTATGCTATCATACACCACACAAAACAAAGCTTGCAAAACCTCAGAGCTGAAATTGCAACTTTTAAAATGCCCACGAGGATATCCATGCTTGTGTGTCTATCGAAAGAGAATGAAGCTTTATGGAAAACAAAATAGCAGGAATGGCTCTCTTAGGTTTCCTCCTCTGTTCAAATGCATTCTGGCATATCGCACTGATGCCGCTTGTTGAGATTTGTCACTCCTGGCATGATGATCCAGGAGTGATGATCTAGACTTGTCTTCTGGAAAAAAATAAACCAAATTGTTCTACAACATCCTTCCTCCCAYTCAGCCATGAAGGATTTCAGCTCTTCCAGGTGACAACATGGAGAGTRTGAGCTTGAATTTGATGACATTTGYCAACGTGAATGTTTGGGCTTTGCTAATCTGTGTGTTTCAGTGCCATCCAATCCTCGTTTCACAAATGGATAATTATTTCTTCTAAAAAGCTGCACCTGTTTTCTCCATAGCACTTGCCTGTATAGGAAGGGTTGGGATTTATTGAGTTTSTGTTGTACCTTTTGCACAAAGGTATTGATAGGGTTAGACTTCTACACAAGGGCAACGGCAGCAGGGGAATTCTGACCGGTGCTTAACGTGCCCAAGGGTTGTGCTTGTGGCCGTAATGCTTTAGACCTAGACACCTCCAACGGCGTTCTGCAGAATGAGGGTGCAGGTGCTGCTTACAGGATACTGGAGCGTTGGAGAAGGATTTAGATGATAGTGATGATGGAAGGGGAAATGTAAGTGCCTTGAGATTTCAAGAAAATACATGTTTTTACAGTTTCCTTCCCGCTTCCATGGGTGCGTGCCTACCATGTGGTGTGGTGGGAAGACCGCAC